GATGAGCGCTGGTGACTTGTCTTAATGGTCTTGTAATAACTTGTTGGAAATTCATAACCTGCGCTACCTGGTCTTAATCTCTCTGGTCTCCAGTGTGAACTTCGTGTGATCTCATACATGCATGTGGTGTGGATATGTGCGCTCACTGGTGTTGAACTAAGAGGTTCATTGCAGTAGCATGGCATGTTGGAAAGAAAGGGGCACAGTAGCACCACGCGGTTCGAATCCAATCGCATAGGCGGCAAACAAGAAAGCAACATGGCTTGTTTTGCGACACACAGTAAAGACACCAGCAACAGAATGAGGAAGGGGGAGGAAGAAGAAAGAGAGAGCGAGAGAGAGAAAGGGAGGAAGAAGAAGCAGCATGGAATGCTCCATGCTTCGATCTTCTCAAGCATGCATTGGACCAAGTGAGCATAAAAAAAATCGAATTCTGTGTATATAAAAGTGTGAGAATTTCACATGTGTAAAATGCATAAAAGTGTATTACATATCGTGAAACGGTATTCACCAGTTTGCAGTAGCCGATGCAGATCCCAGGGCTCGATCCCTAGTCCTCACCTTACCTGTGTACAGTATCTGTGTCGACCCCTAGAGTTGAACCCGTGACCTGTGTATTTGTAACAGTTGGTAGACTGTTGTACGGTCCAGAGGTCGCAGGGGTTCGATCTGTAGACCTGTCGAGTAGGAGTCTTAGTCGGGTCTAGAACTAGTAGCTGAAGCTTTCCCGAAGGGTCAAGGTCGTAGCTGCTACAGTCCAGAAAGGTCGAGGTCGTAGCTGCTACAGTATCGAAAGGCCAAGTCTACGGCCCTCTGGAAGGTCTGAGTAGTGGCCTTTCGAAGTTGCCCATGTTTAGACTGAGGCAAGTGGGCAAGTGGTGGAGTCTACCCGTGCTGAGTCAGCAGTCCCAGTCCCAGTCAGTCTAGCAGTGGCCTTTCGAAGTTGCCCACGTTTAGACTGAGGCAAGTGGGCAAGTGGTGGAGTCTACCCGTGCTGAGTCAGCAGTCCCAGTCCCAGTCAGTCCTAGTCCAGTCAAGCAAGTACCGCATGGGACTGTGTGCACTACGGGCATGGGAAAGGGCCAGACCAACGAGCCACAGAAGTATAAATCAAGAGGCAGAGACCAGCCATTCATTCATTCCTGCGTGAGCCATGCGGAAGCGCTGCCACAGCGACTTGTGCTAGGTGGTCTGCAGTGAGCCCAAAGACGAAGTGGGCGAGAGAGAAGGAGCGTAGCCATAGCGATAGGGTAGCAGCGGCCATAGCCGCCATAGCTGTAGATAAGAGTTCAGCGTGTGTGTGCGTGTGTGTACGGAGTATCGTGTGTGGGATATCCAGGGTGATCCTGTGTGTGCGAACAGAGAGTTGTGTGGGCGCTGTGATGCCATAGCCATCTGAAGTGAACTTGTATCTGAGCTGCGTTTTGGTTGCCATATCTCTGAGTCTTGAGTGGGCGCTTGCCGTCAGTTTGCTGCGCACCTGTTTGCATGCATGAGAAGTGTGAATGAAAGCTAGTCTGATTGCATTGGTATCGGAGCTGGTACCCGCTATTCCACTCGCATCGTCGTGTGCAGCAGGGAAGAGTTACACGCCACAGCCGAAGTAGCGGTTGAAGAAGAAGTCTGCCATAGCGGACCTGGAGGTTGAAGAAGCCGCCGCGCGCACCTGCAGAGAAGACCACGACGAAGAAGAAGACAGAGAGAGAGAGAGAGGGAGAGAGAAAGGTTGAGCGATACAAGATTGGTTTACTACGTACCTGCATTGAAGATATCGCTACGGAGAGAGAGAGAGAGAGAGAGAGAGAGAGAGAGAGAGAGAGAGAGAGAGAGAGAGAGAGAGGGAGGGAGGTTGAGCGATACAAGTTTGGTTGTCCCGTACCTGAAGATCGTTGTGCAGTCCAAGAAGGAGGTGGCCATAGCCGTGGAGCTCGACCACAGAGTATCGGAAGAAGGTGAAAGAGGGGACAAAGGAGGAGATCGAGGAGAGTGAAGGAAGCCATAGCCGAGGAGGAGAAGGGAGAGACAAAAAANGTCTGATTGCATTGGTATCGGAGTTGGTACCCGCTATTCCACGCGCGCCGTCGTGTGCCGCAGGGCGAGCTACACGCCATAGCGAAGTATCCATCGGAGGAGAAGTCCGGCATAGCGGACCCGGAGGTTGAAGAAGCCGCCGCGCACACCTGCAAAGAAGACCACGACGAAGAGAGAGAGAGAGAGAGAGAGAGAGAGAGAGAGAGAGAGAGAGAGAGAGAGAGAGATGAGCGATACAAGTTTGGTTGTCACGTACCTGTGAAGTGTGCCGTGCAGTCCCACGAGGAAGAAGGAGGCGGCCGTAGCCGCGGAGCTCCACCACAGAGTAACGAAGAGGGTGAAAGAGAGGATAGAGGGGGAGACCGAGCAGAGTGGAAGAAGCCATAGCCGAGGATGTGAAGGGAGAGACGATAAAAAAAAAAACAAGAAAAGAGAAGACAGCCGGGTGAAGAGAAAGGAGGCGAGGTAGGGAGAAGGAAGGAGAAGGGTGGTGAGGAAGGAGAAGCCGGCCGCCATAGCCGGAGTTGACCGGGGGTTGACCGTGCGTTGACCAGGAGCTGACCGGGAGTTGACCGGGGGTTTACTGCAGCATTGACCATGGCGTTGACCAAGACCATTGACCAAGACCGTTGACCAAGAATTTGACCAAGCTGGAGTCGGTATAATCTCACCAAGCCTTCAACCTATCCCCTCGCCCTATGGATGTGCACACACCTTGTGGTACTTGCTGAGTCAAGTCTGTCTGTCTCTTTTTTCTGCATCGAGCCTCTTCTGTCCAGGTGATAGGAACTCTGTGGATGAAGGATAGGGCCTTGTTGACCAAACCCACACGGGCTGAGTAGGGCTAAAGACTGTGTCTGACGACTCGACTGTTTTCCATCTAGACGGTCCATGATCCCTCCAAACATGGACGGAAGATATGACATTGACGGAATTGTAGGTGAAGATGTGTTCAAAACAGGAGGTAGAGGCCGTCCGTAGAAGCAGTACAAGGTCCGGTTTGCTTACCAGGAACCGGAGGACGACCGCTGGTTCACTAGAGCAGAACTTCTAGAAACAGCTCCCGGCATAGTGAGAGCCTACGAGAGAGAGATAAGAAAGGTAAAGGTCCTGCCTTGAACTGAGTTATTCTCGGAGGACCTCGAATTTAGGTTGGCGGGAGTGAAATGGTATGCACCAGTTTGCAGTGGCCGATGCGGATCCCAGGGCTCGATCCCTAGTCCCCACCTTACCTGTGTACAGTATCTGTGTCGACCCCTAGAGTTGAACCCGTGACCTGTGTATTTGTAACAATTGGTAGACTGTCGTAGGGTCCAGAGGTCGCAGGGGTTCGATCTGTAGACCTGTCGAGTAGGAGTCTTAGTCAGGTCTAGAACTAGTAGCTGAAGCTTTCCCGAAGGGTCAAGGTCGTAGCTACTACAGTCCAGAAAGGTTGAGGTCGTAGCTGCTACAGTATCGAAAGGCCAAGTCCACGACGTTCTAGAAGGTCCGAGTAGTGGCCTTTCGAAGTTGCCCATGTTTAGACTGAGGCAAGTGGGCAAGTGGTGGAGTCTTCCCGTGCTGAGTCAGCAGCCCCAGTCCTAGTCAGTCCTAGTCCAGTCAAGCAAGTACCGCATGGGAATGTGTGCACTACGGGCATGGGAAAGGGCCAGACCAACCAACGAGCCACAAAAGTATAAATCAAGAGGCAGCGCCCAGCCATTCGTTCATTCCTGCGCGAGCCATGCGGAAGCGCCACATGCCTGGTTGGGCGATGTACACAATAACTGAGGATCCGCAATGTGATAAAAGGGGCTGAATGGACAATGCAGTGCAAGTAGAATCTCAACAAGCAATGTGCATTCTGATACATACAAAATGGTGCTGAATAGCGCAGGGAAGACTTAGATACAAATCCTGACCTGACCGGGACTGACCTCATTCACGTAATACAAGATAGCGAAGCAGAATGCTAGAATGGTAATGACTAGCCCAATCAATGTTTCTACGCAGACCAAACATACATCACGTCCATCACAAGGTGTGAAGGAGCCTGGCGTTGTACACAGGAAGGAAGCGCCAGGTCCAGACATACACAAACGAAGAGGAGGGGATCAGATGAAAAAGAGGGGGAGAGATGGGAATGTTGTCAACACCGAGTCTTTGTCACAAGTCCCAAATAATCCCTCGTCGCAATGTCTGAAGCCCAAAAGTCGAGTCTGGATCCAATGTCACCAAGATCTCTCTCTCTCTTTCTCTTGTAGTCTGCTGATGCAGTGAAGTCAGATAATGAGAGGGTGAGAGGGAGATGGTGGACTGAGAAGAGGAAGAAGAAGAACTCAGATACTAACCTGTGAAGTTGGCGCTGTGCTGCAGGTACCTCGAAGACGAAGCTGGAGCAACGGCGCGGCAGGTAGGTACTCCCGGCCTCCGCCCAATCTCTCTCTCTCTCTAGTACTATCCTAACTACGGCGCCAGCGTTGAAGACTACAGCTACCTACTGGTGCCCAGTGATGAAGACTAATGCTAACGCTATTACTACTCCTGCAGCGCTCCCTCCAGAGTGCCGCTGCCGAATCCTGAAGACTACTGACTACCTCCTGCCTACTCGTGAAGTGCAACTCAAGTCCCTATGTACTATCTCGGCCTGCCTCCTGACTGCCTCCGCCTGCCTACAGTGGCAGGGCGGGCAGTCCAGGAGGCTGCTCTTACCAATGCTGAAAAGAGCCAGGGGCTGGCGCTGCAGCTGTCGTGGGAACAGGCCAAAAATGGTCTGTTCTTAAAACCCTGCTTCGGTGCCTGAGTTTCAAGGCAGGCTGTTTTGATGACAGACCGGAAATGGCCCTTCGTTTCAGGCTAAAAAGGCTGCTGCCAATTTTAGTCTGAAACGACACAGGGTCTATAGGCCCCTGTTTTCCAGGCTTTTGAGCTGACTGGTCACGGGGCCTGTAGGCCCTGGTTTTCAGGCTTTCAGCCCGAGGGCCGCAGGGCCTGGAAAATGGCCCTCGTGTGGAGGCGCAGCATGTAGCACCCCCCCTTCCTTATGAAGTCAAGCGGGGGCGAGGGCGAAGCTGACGATCTGAAGGCGGAACCTAGACGTGGGCGCGGCGTGGAGCCGAAGAGACCGGCTTGCCTTGCATCTTGCGTTCGTAGCGTGCGAGAACGTATGGAGCTGTTGCTTGAAGTTCCGCACGGGTCAAACAACGGTCAGCTCGGTGTGTGCAGTATGCAAAATGCACCAAATACTTGGTTGGCCTGTTGCCGCAGCGTCGCTGGGAGATGATGTCGCCGACCTCCTGAAAACCGTCCATAGAGGGTGGGTCTTGTGAACGTCTCCCGGGAAAATCGTCATGTTCCGCTGGCGTGTAAAGAGCCAACTTGGAGCAATGAAAGACTGGGTAGACGGGCAAGTGCGCGGGCACCTGAATCGTGAAGGAAGGTCCCTCAGGTGCGTTCACAGCGGGTGCTACGATCGGCCAAGGCCCCATCCATTTCGGGAGGAGCTTGCGAGAGATGTCTTGTTCAAGGCTGAATTCCACGGCGAAGACCCAAACGAGATCGCCGACGTGGAATGGGCAAGGAAGACGTTGGCGATTGGGCTGCTGGCTCATGCGTTGCTGCGTCTTGGCCATCTGGTCGCGTGCCTTGACAAGTAGCTCTTGCATCTGACGCAAGAAAAGAAGATGGTCGTCGCTCTCTACCGTTCGTGGAGTGATGGTGTCCAACTGCGAAGTGACCGGCGAGCCGTGCTCAAACTCGAAAGGCGATATCTCGATAGCCGGGTGGATGGAAGAGTTGTATGCCAACTTGACATCCGACAGCCGCTCAACCCAGTCCTTCTGGTCAGGACGGATGAGAGTGCGAAGGAGAACCTGTGCGGTTTGGTGTGCCCTCTCTGTTTGGCCATCGGTCTGAGGGTGGCGAGTTGAACTGGGCTTGAGAGATGAGCCCCATCGCTTGATGAGCGCCAACCAAAAATCGGACATGAACCGAGTGTCGCGGTCGCAGACGATTTCCTTGGGGTAACCCTTGGTTCGAATCCAACCGGCGTAGAGAACCTCGGCCAACTCCGGTGCCTTGGCATGATAGCGACAAGGCAAAAACATGGCGAACTTGGTGAGTCGGTCGACCACTGTGAGAATCCCATCCACTCCGGTCTTGTGCTTGGGGAACGGGCCGGTGATGTCGATGACAATCGCTTCCCGTCGCCTCAACAGGACCGGTAATGGTCGTAACTCGCCGTACGGACGATGGTTGCGGGATTTGCAGCGTCGGCAAACCTCGCATGACTCGCAATAGCGTGTGACGTCGCCGAGAAGGCCGGGCCACCAAAATCGCTCGCGAAGTCGGCCAATCGTGCGATTGACTCCAAAGTGTCCGGTGGCGGGAGCATCGTGGAACTCGCCAAGAAGCCGTGTACGCAAGTGAGGATCACTCGGTACGCAAAGAAGGCTTTTCCTCCGCGTGTGGACAAGCAAGTACCCCTCTTGGATCCGGTAGTGAGAAGGCGCCAGATTAGGAGAGGAGCAATTCGTGTACTTGTCGCGAGACTCAGGGTCGGCTTGGTAGCCACGGATGAAGTTGTTCCGCAGGTCGTCGTCGATCTCGAAGGTTGAGTAGACCCCGGTACAATGATCCGGACGCCGTGAAAGAGCATCTGCAAAATGGTTCGACTTCCCGGGAATGTGATCGGGAAAGAAGTCGAACTGGTTTATGAAAGTCATCCATCGAGCGATGGTGCTGTTGACGGTGTCTTGGGTCTTATAGAAGACCAACGGATTGTTGTCCGTTACCCATCGGAATTGGCTTCAACCAAGGAGGAAGTGCCGCCACCGCTTGAGCGCGCGAACGAAGGCGAGGAGGAAGTGTCGCAGTGCTAGCGCGCGGACGAAGGCGAGGAGGAAGTGCCGCCACCGCTTGAGCGCGCGGACGAAGGCGAGGAACTCCTTCTTGCGTGCATCGTCAATGGAGTGCACGACGGGCACTTTCTTGCTGAAATATTCGATCGGGTGCCAGTCCACGCCATCGTGTTGCTCGAGGACGGCACCAATGCCATAGCCGGACGCATCCGTAGTGACGCGCGTAGGCAAAAGTGGATCGTATATGCGCAAGACCTCTGCAGATAATAGCGCGGCTTTGAGAGCCAAAAATGATTCCCGTGCCGCCTCTCTGAAGTCAAACCGCCGATCCTCGCATTGCAGCCTGGTCAAGTGGGCCGCGATCTTCGAGTAGCCTTTGATGAAACGCTGATAGTAGCTGGCGAGGCCAAGGAATGAACGGACATCCGTAACGTTCCGAGGCTCCGGTCACTCTTGGATGGCTTGAATCTTGTCCCATAGCGGACTGATGCCTTCCGGTGTGACAAAATGGCCCAAGTATTCCAGCTCTTGCCGGACAAATTCGCACTTGTCGCGGTTGGCCTTGTACTTGGCGCGGCGGAGCGTCTCCAACACTCGTCGAAGATGCCCAAGATGATCCTCCAATGTCCGGCTATAGACGAGAATATCGTCTAAGTAGACCAGCACGAACCAGTCCAACATTGCACGAAACTCGTTGGTCATTGTCTCTTGAAAGGTTGCCGGGGCGTTGGTGAGGCCAAAAGGCATGACCACCCACTCAAAATGCCCGTACCGCGTCTTGAACGCGAATTTGTAGCGATCATTCGATCGGATCGAGATTTGATGATATCTCGATTTCAAATCCATCTTAGAAAAATACTTTGCGCCGCCCAATCGCTCAAGAAGATCGTCGATGCGAGGAAGAGGCCTCGTATTCTTGACGGTTTGTGCGTTGAGCTTGCGGTAGTCGATACACAATCGTAGATCCTTGTTCTTTTTCCAGACGAAGAGAACTGGTGCTCCATATGGGGAGCTACTAGGGCGGATCCAGCCCTTGGCCAACAAGTCGTCGAATTGTGCGCCAAGGCCAGCCCTTTGCATAAAGGCTTGGCTCGTGAAATTGCGAGATGCGCCGCTATCCAGCAAAGCGTTGCAGGACGCTTGCCGAACCTGGATGCGGACATACATGAGCGGTGCGTTTTTGTCATCGTACCGCTGCGTGCGAAACTCGCGGGCCACCTTGGTAACATACGCAAGGATGTCCGCCACCACGACTTCGTCAACCGTCGGCGAAGTTGGTGATGCATATAAGGATAAGTACATGTGGAGATGAGCGCATAGTCCTGCGCATTGCGGTCCCGGCAAGCGGCCCGTGGTCGGGAGAGGAAGCCATGCAAAGTCCTTGGACGTGAGCGGGTCCAATACCTCTATGTTGAACTCGCGCGCCGAATCTCGTGAAGGACCACTTGAAGACGATAAGTCGCCGCTGCCGGATGAAGAAGATGTCGCACACACGTCTTGTCCTTGAGCTTGAGTACCCACCGTAGGAACGAGTCGGGCAGCATAGTCCTCAAAAGAATATAAAAGAGGAGGACTATCGACTTCCGCATGCGCCTCGGAATGAAGACCGGTCACTCACGAGGAGACCGGTTCCGGAGGCGTCGAGAGTGTCGTCGAGTCACTCTCGGCGGTGCTCAGTTTCCCTGTTTGCCCTTGCCTTTCAATGGGCAGGCCAGCGTCTCATGGAGATCGCTGTTGCACCATAGGCAATAGTGGAATCTCGTGCGCGCTTTGAATGCTTGCTCGGAGATGCCGTATTGGGACCATGGGGCTGGAGCTGTTGCGCCGGGCCCGGGGCTAGATGTTGTGTGTGTCTTCGTTTTGCCACGTCCTCGGCCTTTGCCGGGGCGGCCACCTTCCCGGGCGGCTGCGAGTCTGTCCCCTTCATTGGCAGACACGGCCTTGCTAGTTTGGTCAAACGGCGTTGCTGTTGTGACCACGGCCACTTTTGGCCGATGCTGGTCTCTGCTCGGGCCTGGTGCAGACGAATGCATGTTCTTAGCCTCCTTGTTCGTGATGATAATCTGCGCGGCCTTGTCAAAGAGTTTCGCCGTTGTCGTCAAGGTGTCCTCTACGTGAGTCAGGGCATTGCTTAATGCCGGGCAGGACCTTGAGATGAAATAGTAGCGGATGGCTTTGAAGCCCATCTGGATGTTTGGGACTGATGTCAAGCGTTGGTACTCAGCAATCCAGTCGACACTTGGCACCGTGCCTTATTCGAAGACCATTAGCTTGTCCATTGCTTTGATCTTCGGCGGCTCTATCTGGAACTGCTTGTGCCACGCCGCCTTCAGATCATCCCAGCTGATCTTGGTGTGCAAGTCGGCAGCTAACACTCCGTACTTGGACAAGAGATTGTCCAACCATGTCTGGCACGCGCCCCCCGACCGGGAGTATAAGTACGCGTGGTGCTTGTGTTCTTTGACGTAGTGTAGCTGCAGTGTGAGCTCGAATTTGCGGAACCATGAAATTGGATCTGTCTTCGTCGAGTCGGAGAAGATCTCCTGCCCGTCGAACTTTGGAGCTGTCTCGCACGGTTCCGAACTCGAGTGGTTGGCGGCAGTGCAGATCCGTTGTTCCAACTGTTGCGTTGCGGTCTGCTGTAGCTGCACGCCGTCCTTGAGGGAGCCGACGTCCATCTCCAATGCTTCAAGGCGGTCGGAGGTGTTGGAAGAGCTTGCATCAGGGGCGGCGACGGGTCGTTGCTCCAGCTGCCGGAGGCGGCCGTGGACTTGAGTCAGCGTGTCGTCGAGGCTATGGATGTCCTCCTATGTAATGCATGTTGCCAGGAGGTCTGTGAGATGGGAGAGGAGTAGAGCGATCTTGTTTTCGCTATCCTCCATCTTGCCATTCTCGGCCTCGGTCCGCCATTCCGCTGCCATTGTGAGCAAAGTCTGCTCTCCGTTAAATATCTTCTCACAACGTTGAATTCTTTCTTCATCGGCATTCTTTGCTGCTGCCTCGTCATGCTGGCGCTGTTGTTCAATTGCCAGCAGACGAGCCTGCTCGGCGTCCTCTGCCTTCTTCTTCGCTGCTGTTGCTGCGTCATCCGCCCGTCTCTTTGTTTCGGTACTCCAGGGCAGCATCCGGGCGTGATAGGCCTCGTCTGCTTCTCCGGACCTCTGGTCCATGAAGGCTGTTTGTGAACGCAACAGCATAGACCAGGCGGGGGGCCCGCTGACGTGGTATTCCCTGCTGCTGATGTGGCACTGCTGTCGGCTGACGTGGCCTGCTGACGTAGTCTGCTAACGCGGCCTGCTGACGTAGTCTGCTGACGTGGCCTGCTGACGTGGCAACTTACCAATGACGCCGCAGGGGGTACCCGGAGATAGGTAGAGAAGGTAAGGCGAGAGGTGGCAACAACATAGGTGGGGAGGGGTGGGTGGGATAACCGCCCAGATAACGCCCAGATAAGGAGCCACTAATCAAACAAGAAAAGTTTGAACTTTGCAAAAAAAAAATTGAGAAAAATAAAAGTCCCGATTTTTTGCAAGTTCAGTAGGTCTCCCAACCTCCCTTGAAGTGCGAAACTATCAATGAGAAAAAAAATTCAAACTTCAGACTGCAAATGGTTTATAGAACTGACTAACAAAATCCTAGAACTGCGAAAAAAAAATTCCGAAAAGAAATCAAATATTTGGACTTACTCACATGAGAGTATTCGCAGTTTGGAAAATAATACCTGCAGGAGGGATTTCCCGTACCGTTTTCAGAAAAACGAATTTCGGAAGAAAAATATTCCGAATTTCCAAGTAACGGGAAATGCAACAGGAAATCGAAATTTTCGAAAAGAAGGATATTTCGGATTTTCAACAACGAAATTTCGAGTTTTCAAAAGAAAAACAAAAATGGAAATTTCAGATGTTCCGCTATTGCGATTTTCTACAACAGAAATAGCGAGAAAACAAAATCCAAGAAAAGAAAAAAATTTCGATTTTCGGCAGTAAGGTCAAAATCGTGATTTTGGGGGCTAACTAGTGTGCTCCAATCAATCTATCAAGACTAATCAGCTACCTAGTCCCCGCACACGTGTCAGATCAGGTTGTCCTGATTCACGTGCGGTGCACCGATACCAACTGTTACATGCCTGGTCGGGCGATGTACACAATAACCGAGGATCCACAATGTGATAAAAAGGACTGAATGGACAATGCAGTGCAAGTAGAATCTCAACAAGCAATGTGCATTCTGATACATATAAAATGGTGCTGAATAGCGCAGGGAAGACTTAGATACAAATCCTGACCTGACCGGGACTGACCTCATTCACGTAATACAAGATAGCGAAGCAGAATGCTAGAACGCTAATGACTAGCCCAATCAATGTTTCTACACAGACCAAACATACATCATGTCCATCACAAGGTGTGAAGGAGCCTGGCGCTGTACACAGGAAGGAAGCGCCAAGTCCAGACATACACAGACGAAGAGGAGGGGATCAGACGAAGAAGAGGGGGAGAGATGGGAATATCGTCAACACCGAGTCTTTGTCACAAGTCCCAAATAATCCCTCGTCGCAATGTCTGAAGCCCAAAAGTCGAGTCTGGATCCAATGTCACCAAGCTCTCTCTCTCTCTCTTTCTCTCGTAGTCTGCTGATGCAGTGAAGTCAGATAATGAGAGGGTGAGAGGGAGATGGTGGACTGAGAAGAGGAAGAAGAAGAACTCTCTCTCTGTCACGAGCCAGATACTAACCTGTGAAGTTGGCGCTGTGCTGCAGGTACCTCGAAGAGGAAGCTGGAGCAACGGCGCGGCAGGTAGGTACTCCTGGCCTCCGCCCAATCTCTCTCTCTCTCTAGTACTATCTTAGCTATGGCGCCCAGCGCTGAAGACTACAGCTACCTACTGGTGCCCAGTGCTGAAGACTAATGCTAACGCTACTACTACTCCTGCAGCGCTCCCTCCAGAGTGCTGCTGCCGAATCCTGAAGACTACCGACTGCCTCCTGCCTACCCTTGAAGTGCATGGGAAGTCCCTATGTACTATCTCGGCCTGCCTCCTGACTGCCTCCGCCTGCCTGCAGTGGCGGGGCGGGCAGTCCAGGAGGCTGCTCTTGCCAATGCCGAACAGAGCCAGGGGCTGGCGCTGCAGCTGTCATGGGAACAGGCCAAAAATAGCCTGTTCCTAAAACCCTGCTTCGGTGCCTGAGTTTCAGTGCAGGCCATTCTGATGACAGACCGGAAATGGCCCTTCGTTTCAGGCTAAAAAGGCTGCTGCCAATTTTAGTCTGAAACGACACAGGGTCTGTAGGCCCCTGTTTTCCAGGCTTTCGAGCTGACTGGTCACGGGGCCTGTAGGCCCTGGTTTTCAGGCTTTCAGCCTGAGGGACGCAGGGCCTGGAAAATGGCCCTCGTGTGCAAGCGCAGCTTGTAACAGCTGCCACAGTGACTTGTGCTAGGTGGTCTGCAGTGAGCCCGAAGACGAAGTGGGCGAGAGAGAAGGAGCGTAGCCACAGCCATAGGGTAGCAGCGGCCATAGCCGCCATAGCTGTAGATAGAGTTCAGTGTGTGTGTGTGTGTGTGTACGGAGTATCTTGTGTGGGATATCCAGGGTGATCCTGTGTGTGCGAACAGAGAGTTGTGTGGGCGCTGTGACGCCATAGCCATCTGAAGTGAACTTGTATCTGAGCTGCGTTTTGGTTGCCATATCTCTGAGTTTTGAGTGGGCGCTTGTCGTCAGTTTGCTGTGCACCTGTTTGCATGCATGAGAAGTGTGAATGAAAGCTAGTCTGATTGCAATCGTTTGGAGTCTTTGGACACATGTAGAAACATGCTGCATTTTTTGCTGACACACAGATGTCCAGATTGTAGGCCAGGGTTTCGGGTTTAGGGTTAAACCACCACTAGCTTTCAGGCTGGAAACCTAAGTCGCAAATATAACCTGGACTGCATTCTTCGGAGGACGGCCGAGGCCGGACACCACCAGACCAAAAAGGCTGACAGCGCCAGCAAAAACAAAACAAAAAAGGCTGCACATGCACTTCGGCCAAAACTTGGCGTGCGGTTCTGCTCCGCTTCGGCAAAAAGGGGCTTGGTGGTTTAAGGTCTCCAGCTTTACGTGCAACACCCGGAAAAGTAGCTAGCAGACATTTGAGTGAGCCACTGACACGGGTCGAATTCCTTTTATATCTGTCAATCAGCACGTCTGATTAGTGAATCCTTATGGATAATCGAATCTGAACATAATCATTGAGGGCAGAGGCTCTGAGACTAACAGCAGAGCAGCTCCCTTAGAAGTTCGTCCTACACCATTTATCAGGAAGTGAAAATTGTCCAGCACTTCCACTCCGATGTATGCAGCAAGATTGAGATGACTATGATTTGTGATTTATCTGTATTGAAAAGAAATCACCGCTACTGAATGATTAATGCTCTTCTTTGGTTACTGATTTATTGCGTCACTTGGCGTAATCTATGTGTGTGTATGACATGTCTCAACTTCGAAGGTGATAAACTGGCAGCATTGTCCGGATAAAGTTGTATTCAATATGTTGGCTTCCATCCCAGGGATTGGAACACATTCTGCTTTCGCGGTGAGAAAATACTCCCTTTCTCTCTCTCTCTCTCTCTCTCTCTCTCTCTCTCTCTC